TTATTTCCCTTCCTTCTGAGATTACAAAATTGGTCAAACAAAAATTACATTTCTTGTCAATTCCATAGTCTTGCATTACTTTTATACCTGGCCTTCAGGAAACAGACTGATAATGTTTGATGCAATATTTCTTGCTGTGGTGTGAACATCTCAAGGCTTCATGAATATTCACTATGTTTGCAAATATGTCCCATTACATACCTGACTATGCATTTATGATGAGGTATTATTTTCTATTTCCATTTATAGAATAACAGAAAGTGAATCAGAAAAAAAACACGTCTGAAAAATGAATAAAGCGAACCGATATTTATATCACATAATGAGCAAAGCAAAAATGAACACTTCACTGAAAACAATGTTGAATTTTAATAACCACCATTTTTTTCATAACCACATTTTTTTACATGTTCCATTTCCATTCAATCTTCATATATACTGTGATTTTGTGATAAACAATCTTCCATAAATATCTATGCTCAAAGTATAAGATTATGAAAACAAATTATATATGCATAACTCACATGCCAAATCAGCTCACTTAACTTGACAGGGGGAGATATCCAGAATCTAATCAACACAATCAAATTGGGACAGAAACACTAAAACATACACTAACATGTACACTTTGAGAAACATCACAAGCCTTGATATCATACATAACTTGCCAAGGCCAAACAGCTGAAAGCAACACACCAATGAAGAGCAAGTCATGGGTATGTAAGAGCAGCGGCATTAGTTATTGAATTTTCTAGCTTCTTTTCCAATAATCTAAAAATATAATCTGAAGTAAGAATAAAAATTGGTGTATATAAGATATTACAAATTTTATCTGTAAATACATGATGCCTGAAGACAAAGTAAATTCCAAGTCTAGTCTTATTGTGAACCTAGGAACTTGGTATGCTCTTATTTTGATTCAATTATATTTTACTGGTATGTTTTCATCAACAAGGTTTCATACAGGACCGCCATACCATTGTAAGAAAGAAGAAAAATGTAACAGATAATGAAATAAATAACACTCATATATACCGTATATGTGCATGTATAAGGATATATAGTATTAATGCCTTACAACATTAATCTTGTGACAAGGTCCCTGTAATTTTATTTGCCTTTTCTCATTTCATGCTTTCATACTTGCTTACAAACCTTTCAGCTTACAGCACAACAAATAATGTTACTATGTTAATCTGTAGATAAATAACTATTAAAAATGATATTATTATTGATAACAGTATTCACAATAATCAATCAATCAATAATAATCAAGTTATAATATTACTGATAATCAATAGACAAAAATAAAAATTACAAAAGTAATAATAATAATAATAATAATAATAATAATAACTAGAATGATAATATCAATAACAATAATAAAAAAGAATAAATAAAAAGTAAAACCATACACAGTGTAAAATATAACTATTTGCAATTTCTTAAATAATTCATATTTCATAAAAGAATTTTGCCAAGAATTAACAACTTTAAAATTTTTTCTACTACAAATATCAATTATATACATATTATCAACACATTCTATATACTATCTGCTTTTTAGAGGGACCACAATTGATTTTTTTCAACCTCTCAACAACTGCATGAATACATACAATAAACACTTGCTTGCATTATTCTGTAGGAACATTTAATAGTCATCAAAGCAAAATAGGAAAGAGAGAGAGAGAGAGAGAGGAAGGAAGGAAGGAAGGGAGGTAGATAAGGATGGGAGCGAGTAGAGGGAGAGAGGGAAGGAGGAGAAATTTAAGGAAGAGGAAGAAAAGGATCAGGAATATAATAAGTAGAAAACTGTAGTTTAACTATAACAAAAATGAAAATATGATAGCATTGCCAATAAACAAAATAAGCAAACCTGTCCCACTAGCAAGTGGCTAACCCTAATACTAAGTTTCCCTAGATTGTCTCAGTCCTTGGCTAAAGCTGACTGCAACTCTTTCAGAAGCATGGATGAAACAACCATCTTCTCACAGTTGATGGTGATTGAACACTCAGCGGTCTCCTCTGGGACGGTCAAGCTCAGAAGCACCAAAACTTTCCCGGAAGCTGTCTGACCTCCAAACCTGAGGGTAGAGATGGAGAAGAAATGTTGTTAATGACTCTTGGGTTCTTCTGTTCTTCCAATGGATTCTATTGCTTTCTACTATCGAATAACTAAAATTACTGCAATAGTTGAAAAATTAATTCAGAATGTTCCAAAACAATGATTTCTGAGCATATACATAACATTATTGTATCTCACAATGACAAAAATAGAAGCACCTAATTACATAAAACTTCTGTAATCAATGGGTTAGTTGGCTAAGGTGCCTGAGTACTGATCTAATATTCATGAGTTAGAGCCTATCTGGTGCCACGAGTGATTAAGAATCCCAAATATTTCTGGCACACATGGGGAGATAGTGACTGACAAGGAAGTACAAATTATGCATCATCTAATATCTGCCCATCTTAACTGATCTGAAATAATACTTCACTATATACAGCATTTAAAATTAACTGTTGAAGGGATAAGGGTACTAATCATTAGCTGCCATATCTTATATATTCAGTAAAATGCCTGATGATGGTTAACTAACAGGCTGTTTTTCTGCCTCTTTTCTTTAAGTGAATGGCTGTAGTAAATCTGGTATTTTTGTTTTCATTCTGCATGGTGTGTGCATTATTCATTTCAGAAAAGTAAATGACCAACTTCAGCCCAATCAGCATTTTCGTAGTTGCTACTATATCTGGAATTCTACTTAACCCATTTGCGACGGGCATGTCACATATCCATGCTATGCCCACTGTGAGTTTACTTGTTTAATTGTTTTCACACATAGATAGCTACACTTGTACTAAGTCACCAATGAGCCAATTACAAGTACTACCTGTCTCGCCCGTTTACCCTTTTCTTTAATTTACGAAAATGTTTTACATTATCTTATCTTGCTATTACTAATGTTTATAACATTATAGTAATTATAATGTTTATAATAAAAATAACACCATTGATATTCATAGTACTAGTAAAAAATACATTTTCCCGCCAATTCAAGGAAAGGTGTAATCAGGTAAGGCAGAGCCATCTATGTGTAGAGGCATTTCACAAAAAATATAAAAATTGAGTACAGCATTTTCCCCATTTTTTAATCATTTTCCCCATTTTTTAATCATTTTCCCCATCACAAATGGGTTAAACATAGATCCACAAAACACATTTTTCACAATGCCCATATTCATGTGGATTCTAAAACCACTGCAATAAATCATAAAACCATAAAGATGCTTCAACTTACTTCAACACATTGTCACTTAAACTCTGCACTTGTAGGAGATTGGCAATCTCATACACATGGTCAACAAGAGCCTTGATGTTCTGTTCACTTGGAAGCTTTGCTGTCCCACTCAATTCATTCATTCCTCTTAACTTTCCCTGGGAGTACAAAAAAAACAGAGATCAATCAATGGCTGGAAAAACAATGGCAATAAGAACTTACTTATTTACTTAAAAAGAAAAAAGAAGAAGAAGAAAAGAAAGAAAAAGAAAAGAAAAAGAAAAAGAAGAAGAAAAGAAAGAAAAAGAAAAGAAAAAGAAAAAGAAAAAGAAAAAGAAGAAGAAAAGAAAGAAAGAAAGAAAGAAAAAAAAAATATATATATATCACTAAAATACAATAACTTTCAAAGACCTATTAGTATAAACAACTTGTAAAGCAAATATTACCTGGTTCAGATTGAAGTCTGCTTCACTCATTGCCAGTGGAGTCATCAGTTCCCCAATTGGAGCAGTAACACTAATGCTAAACGTTCGTCCCCCAGCAATCAGATCGAATACTGCTGGCTGGGTGGTGTCATTGAAGTCCACACCGAGAGTGCCATAGAGTGTCGTATCAGCATTTAGTACCGCAATGCCAGCAAACTCATGTAGAGACATTCCTGGTGCTAGTTTCTTCCTGCCAATGCTAATTTCACGGATTTCTTCGCTTCCGGTATTTGTGAAAGTGAGTTCTACCGATGTCATTCTGGGTGAATAGAGGTGTGGGGATCGGGTGAAACGAGCTCCCACAGAAAGCCCATTTCCAGTAAACCTATTAAGGAGTTCATGAGTAGTTGTGGGTACAAACTTTGCTGAAGCTGGTTGAATAGATGCCCCAGGAGGTAATGGTTGGGCAGGCTGTGCTGTCGGAGTGGGCGTCAGGAGACCCCCCAGGGAAGGAGTGAGCAGCGGAGTATCCATAGTTGGAGGAATGTCATCGAGGTCAAGGAGAAGGTCTAAGTTTGTGCGGTTCCCTCCTCCTTGTGTCGCTTTGCCCTTATTACTTGCCTTTTCCTTTGATTTCTTCTTCTTGGTATCTTCATCTGATGACTCGGAATTCTCTGATTCTTCATCACTTGATGATTCGCTCTCTGAAGAGGATGACTCCGACTCTGATTCTGACGATTCCGACTCCGAATCTTCACTACCTGATGACTCTGATGCTTCCCGTTTTCTACCTCCACTGCCAGACTTTCTCTTGGCCTTCCCTCTTGTCCTCTGCTTTTCATCCTCATCATCATCGCTCTCAGATTCACTCTCCTCCTCACTACTGCTCTCCGAACTGTCACTTTCACTGCTGTCACTTTCACTATCGCTCTCGCTTCCACTGTCACTCTCCTCCTCGTCACTCTCATCTTCTGGCGAGCTTTCATCTGAGTAGAACGACTTCACCTTCTGTGGCTTCTTCTTCTGGTGAGCCGACTTGAAAACTGGGGTGACTGGCGTTGGCATCTCTACATTGCGAACACTTGGGTCTGGGGCGTCATCAGGGAATGGAGGAAGGTCCTGGTAACCACTAGCTCTGGCGTTGATGAAGTGAGAGAGTGTGCTCAGCTGGAATTGGTCCCGATCTAAGGGGTAAGTAAATAATTATTATTCTTTGTTTTGAACTCCAATGTTATCTCCACTTCCTTACAAATCTCACACTGCTTGAGGTAAATCAAAGTGGATATCATACATACCAATGTCTTATTATCTAATCTCAAAAATACAAAGAACATTCAAAATTTTATTTTCTCACTTCATAAATCCATTTTTTATTCAGATAAAAAAAATGCTACAAAAAACGTCTCAATGGAAAATTCATTATATTACTGATATTAATCCAGTTTAAAACATGCTGAATCATTCAAGAATAAAGATAAATAAATTTAAAAATTATCATCATGCCTACCTTTGAAACTTGACTGTTGAACTGGAGGTGGTTTGGTTGCTAAAAATATTTTCTTTGCATGCTTAGCAAGTTTGTTATCTTCATGCCCTTGAGATGGAAACACGAGAGCTCTTGTTAACCTAGCCCTGTCACGAATATCATAATTGGTGTCATACTTTGCCAAGTTGTACACATACTGGCAGAGAAGGCGAGTCTGTTTGGGGTTTGTCAAATACAGCTTCGTGGCTAGAGTCAGGATCTGCAGCTTTACTATGTCCTCCTGTGTTGATTGAGAATTTGTTTAAAAATCAGTTATCTGCCAAATTTTGATTAAACCACAGGTATCATTTCAACAGAATTAATCATGGCATTCTTTTAGGAGGGAGAGAAAAATAAAAATAAACGAAGAGGAAAATTTTAGACACCTATAAAAAAAATTACCTCTGTGATAAATGTCTTGGCCATCTTCCTGAGCACATCAGGAGCAATCTTGGGCACCTTGTCACAGTACTCTCCCAGGAGCCAAAGGATGCTTGCCCTTGCCATGGGAATCTTGATGTTGTCAACAAGTCGAGCCATATGGCTGATGATGTCCTTGTGGCCAACTGTCTCACTCTGCAGTAATTTCCGGATTACTACAACACTCTCACCCACAACAGACTCTGGAAAGGGAGACCAAGGTGGATTAAGAAATAAATGGACAATGAATACCAACATTAAACTCTACTAAAACCTTCTATTCTTTGTAGGCTAATTTTACATCACAACAGTATCTAGTACTACAGAAACTTGAACCATTCTAGACCATCACTTCAGGAATTACAGAGATACATATAGAGACTTACCCACTAACCCTCCCAACTATTTTCTACATTTCCTTTTCAAGGCCACATAAGCATCTTTTGACTTACCATCCCTGTTGGAAAGAAGTGACACAAGGCCACTAAGACAGGTGTCCGTAACTTCTCTTATGTTTGAAGCACATCTGTGAAAGGTAAAAACTTGTGATAATAAATGCAACCAACCAATGCCTCAAAGATAAACTCTATGGTATCCAAAATTACTTGTCTATATTCATTTTCTAACAAACAAGCTATTATTCCTGTATGTTTTTAAGTTATGATATATGTACTGGATTCAAACACTTGTCTTTGACAAACAAAATTATCCATTACTTATTGTTCTCAGTATCTTTATACTTTTCTATGGCTGATTTTTTTTTATCTAAAGGGTGAAAACTGATCAAGCCACCAATCTAAAAATGTGGTTGAATTCTTTTCAATAAAATATACACAAACTCTCACACACACAATCAATCTGCAGTATTATAACAAATGTATACTATAAACACTAAAAAATAAGTAAACAGTAACTCAACCAAGGCTTACCACCTCTCCATACAAACAGCACTAGTCCCCAACAATTTACAGAGGGAGTTTTAATGAAACTTCAGTATATATATGAAACATTCAAATATAAAACACATGATTTTTTTTCCAACTTCCAATTCTTTCAGTAACTCACCTTCCAATGGCCTGGATTGTAGCAGCAACAAACTCCTTGTCAGAGGATCCAATGTAGGTTTGAAATTCTCGCAGTATTACAGATATGTTGGCATCTGTTGCAAGGTTTGTCAGAACCTGAAGATCAAAGAACAATAAATACCCTATGCATAATAAAAATGTTGAAAATACTTGTTTAAAATAGACAAAAGGGAATATGACTACTCTTTTTTAACTACAATTAATATTACTATCTGTTGCAATATCAGCATTATGATTAACATTTTCAGTTATTAGGAAGTGGACACAGAGGCAGGAGGGAAAGTAGAGAGAGGGAGAGTGGGAGGGAGGGAGGGAGGGAGGGAGGGAGGGAGGGAGGGAGAGGGAGGGGGGAGGGAAGGAGGGAGAGAGGGAGGGAGGGAGGGAAAGAGGGAGAGGGAGAGGAGAGGGAGAGAGAGGGAGAGAGAGGGAGAGAGAGGGAGAGAGAGGGAGAGAGAGGGAGAGAGAGGGAGAGAGAGAGAGAGAGAGAGAGAGAGAGAGAGAGAGAGAGAGAGAGAGAGAGAGAGAGAGAGAGAGAGAGAGAGAGAGAGAGAGAGAGAGAGAGAGAGAGAGAGAGAGAGAGAGAGAGAGAGAGAGAGAGAGAGAGAGAGAGAGAGAGAGAGAGACAGAGACAGAGAGAGAGAGAGAGAGAGAGAGAGAGAAACATATATAAACAAAAGAACACTCACTTCAAGTTTCAAGGCCTTAATATGAGTAGGATCACTGGAGCGCACAAAGAAACTTTTCAGATATGGCTCGAACATACCCTGTGATGAAACAAAAATGATTTAGGTAACTCTGGCTAATTTTCTTTTGTTCATCCTCATGACAATAAGGTAACAACTAAATAATAAACAATAGTTGTAGCAATATTAATAATAATAATAATAATACAAATAATAATAATAACAAAGACTTCAGAATGTATCATAAAGACTTCAAATAAGCATTTATTTAAAACTATTAATCAATTCCCTTCAACCAAATCTAATGAAAACCTATCAGTCACAACTGCCAATATATCAATCTGGTTTGACAAAGTTTAAAATAAGCTCTTACTCTGCCAAACATTTAGCAAAGCACAAGATACAGTCAAGCAAAATAAATGTCATGAAAAGCAGGCATGCAAATGAACACACACACTCACAGAAAAGAAAGCTGCATGCATAACAATGTAAAAATAAATAATTTATTCCACTATATGATTAAGAGTTATGTCTTGCAGGTTAAGCAGTTGAATTCATATTTAAAGTGCAATTTTACAACAGTCTACTTTAGTTTGAAAACTACATCTACTACTTTAAATGACTATTAAAATAAAACAAGATAGTCACACAAAAGGCTACCCTTTTTGGTCCAATTTGCTAAGGGACTATCTGTCAAAAAATTAATCCCAACCTAATCCTTTAAGATCATTTTACAATAAAATCCAAACTCTCTTAAAGTATTGGTCTATCTGCTACTGAACTAATTCCAGGAAATCACATTATTCTGATTCTGACAATTTTATATACAATAGCTAATATAATGGGCCAAAAAATCATCCTCAAGAAATAAAAATATACTCACAGTACATATTTGACAATTCCAGCTTTACTGTAAACTTACTGGGGTATTTTCATTTCATAATTCAACCAACAAGGTCACTAAGAAACACAATATATCAAGTACCAGTAGTTGAAATAACACTTAAATGCTTCAATAAAAGATTCTATACACTTGACTTTCATCTCCTTTATTGGACTGGCTGTCAAGACAAAATGGCCCCGGTCATTTCTCACTCCTCTAACCTTTTCCATCTATATTCATATTAACACAATCAGGTTCTCTGTTCAAAGAGAAATAAAAAAGTGGAGTATAATTCTACAACAAACTGACCTAAAAGCATAATTTGAATTAGTCGCATTATTAAACCTCAGACTGAATCAAAGGTTTGCTAAAAATTGGATTTCTTTATCTAGAATTATTTCCCCAATCTGTCCTCTAACCATGAATCTAACTTAATGGCTTAATGTTATGTACTGTCCACTGTAGTCTTTTATGAATAATTTTGCACATAAATGGCTCCAAAGGTACCTACCCTCCCAAGAAGTCAATTAGTAGGGTCTAGTGACTAATATTAGCAATAATATATAATACAATAATATAAATAAATCTTTCTAGAGATCAAGGAAGTGCAAACAGGTGAGGACAAGTAATTGACTCCTTGGTGACCAAGCACTTGTAAAGCCACCTCTGTGTAAACACAATTAATAAACTAAAATTACAGTGGACACTGCTTGTAATCATGTCATCTGCACCCAATGGGATAATACAGTCTACCAATGCTATAACAGACCTCATGCTAATTAATCCCCTTTGAAGCCCTCCACAATGCACCACTACCACTGCCTGACCATCAGAGGTTGGAATCAAATGCCCAGCTATGGTTTATGGCATTAGCAGAGTTGGGGGAGAAGGTAACGGTAGAAGGAAGAATAAATCATAGAGAGAGAAAGTCAACAAGAGAAAGAAAGTCATGACTTATCTGACATGCTGGTGGCTGACTCATATCCTGCGATATGAGTAGACATAGGTCAACAGTCTGTTCCAGTGTCATACAGCCATCCCTCAATTGGCTCCCATTCAATAAGAAGAGTTTGAAAACTGTGCGACTATATATTATATTGCTTGTTTCATGAGCGTGAAAACCCTTCCTTTTGCTTTGTTTTATTCTTATAACAATAGTATTGCAAGCATACATCATAACAGTTATTTTTCGTTGCCCAATAAGAATACACATGGTATAGTATTTAACTACATGAGAAGCAAAAACTCCTAGCACATAGATTCTGTGCCCCAAATTGGCATAGTTTGTCCTCCGGTAGGGGGATGGGCTAGGTGAAGATCGACTTGATTAAAACATGGGTAGATTGCAAAAATATATTTATACATTCCTATTCCTATGCGAGTTTCATTTTACACATTTATTCTAACTAAACTGTTTTTTCTAGTGAGTTCCCCAACAGATTATAATGCAAAGACAACCTTGAAAACAACAGTCAATCAAAGTCTCACAAGAGTTGTCCTCCTATATAGAGTTTTTTCTTTTCCACATAACACAGACACACAAGAAATATCATTGCCAACATTCATACAGTAGGATGACACACCTCACCCATAAGCAAATCGCTGAAACTACAAGAGACATTGGAGAATTCCTCAGATATCCTCTCACCAGTTTTCAAAGCTACTCGTTATTTTGTCTATTTCATGAATTTTACACAA